AAAGTAAAAAAAAACAAACAAAACCACAAACACCACCCCAAACAAAACAAACAACCAAAAAATCCCCCAATCGACACAACAAAACCAAAATAAATTAAAAATCCACCATCTCAAGCCCCCACTATCTAGCAGTTTTTAAATCTGTATCAATTGGAAAGAGCAATCTGATGGCCTGTACAGCAATCTGTAACATTTGGGTTCTTCCATAGGTTCTGCAATTACACTCATGAACTACTGTGAAACTTCTCTGAGCAATATCCTGACCAATTGTGTATTATCAGTTCATTTAATTGTGTATTTCAATGACAGACCTACATTGCATTAGAATATTTTCTAGTCTAACATAGCCAACAAGTAACTGAGCTGATGGCAGCTTTGAGGTCACAGAATTTATTTCTTACCTGCCAAATGATCATGAAAAGATAGATTCCAGCCACTCTCTGAAATGATGACTTTGGGTCAAACCAGCGGACATAGGTCCAGCTGGCTGGGGTGAACTGCAATACAGCTCTTTTGATTTTCCCTGTGGTTGTGTGAATGTCCCTAGAAAAACAGAATGGCTGGAGTAAATACAAGGAATATGCAAGGGGAAAAAAAAGCAACAGCCGTGTTACTGATGTTTTGGAACAACTGTACTTTTTTGATGGAGAGCAGAGACCTTGACAGACACGACTATGTACAAGGGTGAATTAAGGAACTACCTACTAAGCATTTCAGTCAGGGTGCTATTCTGCTCTAAAAGCCCACCCTTCTCTATCCTCAGTCACTAACTAACTACAAAACATTTATCATCCTCTCCACAAAGGAAAGATACAAGGATTGCAATTCTGCAACCCCCTTGGAAAATCTAGAGGATATTTCTTCCTAGTCTATGCTGCCACTACTGTTATCCCAAAGACTCCTTGTGCTAGAGCTCACTGACATCAATCCTTCAAGAATCTGTCAGATTCATTATTCATCCATTGTATAAAGGGCTGGCTCCACACGTTTAAAAATTATGATACAGATTTTACTACACTTCCAGTACATATAGCCCCTGCTGTTCTGATATAAGATACATGTGGGCCTCCTGGAGAGGTGCGATAGCACTGTTAAAAGCTAGAAATCTATTAAATTCCAATTAGAAAGGGGATTTTAATGGAGGCTCATCTGACATATGTATTACTGGTTGGTTCTTGCTTTTGATAACATTGATTCAGATGAGCAACAGCATCCAAAGGACAGGGAATCTAAGAAAAACTCAGAGCTTCTTTTTAAGAAGGAAGACTAGTAAGGGCTAGAAGTCAGTTTTCACCCTGTTATTTCTCTGGCCCTTCTGAACAAAAAAAGAGACTCAGATTTCATATTTCTGATATTTGTGTTCTTTTAGGCTAGAGAGACCTTGAGTGAGAGAGTATCTTCTAAATTTTAAGATCTACATTTATTCAATGAAAGAAAGAGAAAAATAAATTAAAAGGGCCCAAGCAAAAGCTTCTAATTTTATGCAGCACTTTCATATTAAAGATCAAAAAATCTACTCATGCATTTAAAAGAATGTGAGGAAAAATCATTCCACAAAGACAATAAAGACTAGTTGTGCCATAGATATTCTGCTGTTTAAACTTTCAGTGAACTCTAAAAACAGAAGGATCATCGGCTCTAATGGAAATGAAGGAAAACTGAATTGAGACTAAAGGCTGGATGGTGCTTAGAGCAATTAACAAATTTGTGAGCAAGAAAAGAAAATCGGTACAGAAATTCACATGGTGTACAAATTTGGAAGTCAAGATTTGAGCTCGTTTTCCATCTCTCGAGGCAATTCATTGTACTCGATCTGTTTCATCTATACCATTGCTAATGTGCAGATAACCATGCTTGCTACCAACTGGCTGGGAAGAAGGCTGGAGAGATGTTAAAAACTATGGAAGAAACCATGTGGACAGCTAGGAACTGACACTTACTAGGTCACAATCTGTTGCCCTTTTACACAACAAATACCTCTTTATTTTGCAATTACTCCATTTATTTCAGAGGGTCAGCAATGGGGTAAGGCAATTCACAGAATAGGTACAATCAGTCTGATGCCTCTTCTACAATTACAACTAGTGCTGACAGATTGCCACACTAATGCATCCTCAAGCTGAGCCCAAATCTAGTTTAAAAAATGTATAATGAGAAAACAAGTACAATTTGTTTTGCTCCCTGCCTTCCTCAAAGTACAAAATTAACTGAAAACACAAATAGCTTTACTACATTATATTTTCCATTGGTATCAATGCTTGTAAGTTAGGACTGCAAAGGAAAATTATATATACAGTCATATTTACAAATATATGCTGTACAGTAGCGTTATGATGAGATTGATATTTAACATTTAAAATAAAATTACAGCCTTGTTAGCACAGGCAGATTGCGTGCTATTTCTATACTACATGTATTTTACTTAAGCAAAGAAGGTGGTCTATTTCCCAAGGAAACAAATTTAACATTATAACATCGAACATAATGTTTATCAAGCTTTAATTTAGACCTACTTGAAGCTTGCCCAGTGATAGGTCCTCATCTCCAAGAAACGACAAACTACCATGCCCAACCAGATGCCACCCCCGTTACAAAGCAGGATGTCCAAAATGACTTGATCCCACCAGCATTCAGCAAAATTAGGCAGAAGGTGCATGAAGAAGAGCTACAGAATACAGCAAAGAGATTCTGGGTGAGGAACAGCACAGAATTCATATAAATTCACTTTTTAAGTACACATTCAAAAATCAGCTTTTCAGTACACAGAATACTTCAGTGACATAAGCCACAACCACTGAAATCTGACAGACATCTTTCCTTTAACTTCAGAAGGCCTTGAACAGAACCACACAAGACATCAGAGGTTTCCTTCTCACGGTTTCCTGTTGGGGCTATGCTGTATATAAGGATATCATGCAGCTCTTGGCCTCTCAAAGATGGTACACAGAACCTTCATAGAAATGCATGAAACAAGCAGAACTACTGCATTTCTTGGAGGAAATAAGGTGGTTTGTGCTTTAAAAGTAAGTTGAAAAGAATCTTTGTTTTACTTTTGCTAAATAGTTTCAAGAAGTATGTTTTCTAAACCAGCAACAGCAGTAAGTGGAATGGATGCACTTGTAACAACAGTCAGTACTTAAAGCATGTTGGTGTTCAGGACTAAATACTTGTTCTTTTTCAAAACCCTATCTTTCATTTATTATTTTCATCTAAATTTAGTGACTCTAAAAGATAAGGAGTTCACCAACATTTCAGACTCTACAAGCTTTGCTGCTAGACTTGATCCAGATTGTGTCAAGAATTTAAGAGGACATTCCACTCTGCCTTCCTGCTTGGTCTCTGCTAAGCACTATAACAATGAAGGCACTTTTATGATGAAGATACTGGAAAACAGGCCAGAAAAAAAACATTATTAGATTGAAGAGCTGACACCACCTAGATATATCAAAACATCTCATGCCTTCAAGATTTCCTCTGGAAAGTGTGCAAATCATTTACCTCTGAAGCAATCTGTTCCTTTCAGAATACTCAACTGAAAATCACTATGAGGCATTAGTAAGGCAATTAAATGTACTTAGAGATACATTTGGTGACTTTACATTACTGATGGAGTGAGGGGAACAACTGGCCAGAGTTAAAATAAGATATAAATATAATTTACCAAGAGCTAGAAATGGATTCAGTGGCTTTCCTTTAAGAGAAAATAATTGTACACTCTATTTTATGAAAAAAATTGCTGCAACCCAAAAAACAGATTAGAAAATTTTAGCTATAGACTGGAAATCAAGACAGCCATGTGTTAAGCAGTCTCTTTGGAACACTCAAGGAGATACTTACAAAACACACAGCAAATTAAAGTATATTCTTACCTCCACAGAAACAGTACAACTTTTGTCAGTCAGTGCACACAGACTCTTTCCATGGAAGATTACTGATATGATTTTATAATAAAGTATCTTTTACTAACAGATGTATAAATAAAATATTGAAAAAGTCAGATGCGGGAAAAGGAACAAGAAGAATGTTTTCTGTATAGAGCAAGAACGAATACTGATCCATTTATAGCACATTACAGTGACTATTATTGGCAATGACAGTTCCTTAGAAAACTCTTGCAAAAGCATATCAAAATCACTTGTTTTACGTTGACAAGGCTATATGAATTTCAACCTGTAAAAAAGAAAACTTGAATTTCTCTTCAGGACCCAGGCAATATAATGTTGTTCATTTCCTGCTGAAGTTTCCCTTTCATGTTTTTAACTAATTTAACCTAAAAGGGACAATAGGCTACAAATCTCAGTCTACGATAACCCAACCAAAGACACCAGAAATTACAGAATGTAAGGCAGCAAAGCCCAGAGCACGGGTGTTAGCCAGATCACCTCTAAGGTGCTAGCTGCTTTCTCAGAATGAGACACCAAGGTCTGCCTGCATCCCAGCTTTAATCCTACAGTATGAAGCACGAGCCAAGTTTCCCATTTCAGAATGGGGAGTCAGCTGTAATCCATAAATGCTAATAGGAGATGCACAGCTAAATCCCTATGTAATTGCCCTGACAACTTCTGTAGGTTTCAAATTACTCTCCTGAATTGTCTAATTCATTAAAAATCCATTCGAGTGGTGATAATATATCCATACGTTGAACCTTATCCAACACATTGTCTGTTCCAATAATCTGCCTTTCAACAAGGGGAAGACACTCCACGTGGTGTCAAATTGAAGACGATGGTTGTGTGATGATCAAATGCACAATAACAGTACAAGTGAAACAAATCCAAATACATTCTTTTCCAGAGCGAAAATATGAATATAATAACTAGAAAAATTATTTTTTTGCGGATGGGTACTTGTGAAATCCCAATCTTAAGTGATTTCAAAATAACTTAGAAAATGGCATACCCTTCAATGCCACAGAACAAAAACGTGTTTTGAAGAGGAACTCATGGCAGCAGTATTTTGAAACCCAGAAGTTTAATTTTAGACAAATAAATCCTTATCTATGTTTCTGAATTATAAAAGCTTTGTCAGATGAGGCAAGCATTCTCAAGACGGCAAGCTTTACAGAAAACTGATTTTAAAGACTAAGTTCAGGTGTTAATCCCCAGTTGCATTTCACTTGTACATTATGCATGACTATACACAATGTGTAATCCTGTTGTATGTGGGGTAAGGGGATCATGACAGTAGACCACAGATATTGCAAAGTGAAAAAGGAGAACACTTGCTCTGAATCAGGAAATATCTGAAGTAGCAAAAGTAGCATGATCTCCCTAACAGCAGAAAAATAAATTATGAATGGCACCAACAGGATGGCCTAGATCTCCCTCCCATTCAAGCAATAATAAGCCACTTACCTAAAACCCAGCTTGCTGTTGTCTACTAATTCAATTGCATCAATTACTCAGCACCTGGTTTATAAGGCTTAAAATGTAAATCTATGCTGAGGACTAGAGAGTCATCCTTCTAGTAACATCCACACTTCCCACAAGAACACATCTCATACATTTGCTTACAATTAAGACGCAAGGGTGGCCTACCTCAGTGAGCTCCCAGGTGATGCTGATAGTCCAGCAGAGCCCATAGCTGCGGATCAGCAAAGCCTTCATAGCCCAGCCCCAGAAATGTCCAAAAGCAAATATATCAAAGTGGCTAAGGATTCTTTCCCAGGTGATAACATGACAGTTCACTGCATACTCCTGTTATGAAAAAAAAACCCAAAAAAACCCAAACCCAACAAAAATACTCAATCAACACACAACTTCAGAAAAACTAGGATGAAGAAACATCTTTCTATTTAGTGCAACAAATCTGAAATTATACGGGTATTAAAATAAGCATTATTTGCTTTCTTGTCCTTCTAAACTCTGCCAGAAAACTTCCAGTATTAAGACTCAGTACCATCACAGTACAGCTCTAATTTAAAGGGAGATACAATAGATCCTGGTGCCTGAAGAAGCATATATTTCTTATGTGATAGAGAAACAGCAAGAACAGTAAAATCAATAACAATAAAACCAGCAACAACAAAACAATAAAACCCTTCTTTGGAGTCTTGATTTGAAATAACTCTCTTTCCCCATTTTGATGTTGTCTGGTATTCAGATGTGGCTCGTCAGTGGCTAATCCTCACCAGTTTGTGATGTAATGTTACTTGTATCAGTGTTTATTTGAGTATCTTTTGTGTATTATTTTCCTCATGAAAGCAATTTTCCAGAACCCATTCATATTGAGGAAGTTCAGTCACAGGCCTGAATTGAAAAAATTTAAAAAAAAATCAAGGGGAGCTTGCAACTGTGTTGTCACAGATGAGTGACAGATTCCTTAAGAATATTAATTAATATTCTAGTCTCCAGTAACAAAGGAAATGGGTTCTCTCAACATGTTGTACAGCAAGTGCAAGAAAACACTGCCCAACAAGAAATAAAATCTGTATGCCATCAGGAGGCTGCAGTTGTGGCATTCTGTTGTGTCACTGGGCATAAACTAACTATTCCTAACAGGAAACACACATTTAAAAACCTCTGGTCTCCAATCCTGCTTAAATATACATTGCCACCTGCAGGTGACAACACGGCACCACTCAACACCGTTAAACCAAGAATTCTCTTTCAGGCCAGAACTATTGCTAATCCCACACAAACGAATCCTGATCAAGCTAAAACGGAGATGTAGAGAAAGGTTTGAATCCAGGCGACCACAAAGAGAAGAATGCACACTGTTACACAAATCCTTCTATCAGCAGGCAGTTAAATCTCACTATAAAACCCTTAATGCTGGTGCTCCCTGAAATGAAAGCACAGTATTGCTTCTTGTGCATGCCTATGCTGCTGGTCCTTCAGAGAAAGGTGCACCACCTGTTCTAAGGATGGCAAACCTGCAGCTTTAGTGCATGTACCCAAAAGAACTGAAATGGGTTCATTTGCCAGCAGGAGAAGCCTGGAGGGCACCACAGAAGGTGCAGGTTCCTAGCTACACCATGATATTTATGACGAGTGAGTACAATGAGGTTACTCCAAAAGTAAGTTTTTTTCCAAGGCTTTTGCTTTTTTGCTTTTATTTGTACTGGGGCTTTTTTCTTCTCTATCTCATCTTTTTGGCTGCAGCTCTGCTAGCCACACAGCAAAATGTGTTGAACTTTCTTTTATACCAAAGTAATTTTGCCGGTTCTGTGCAAGCAATCAAGCTGCAACCTTCATTATAGTTGCACTTTAATTTGCTCCAACTTTAAGTGACAATATCAGGATTGCAAAGTAGCACAGAGTAAGTGTCCGCTGATTGCTACGGTTGGGGAATCTGCTGTACTGTGGTTCTGTGCCAGTAGTAATACTAGTCCTCCCGTGACTTGAATCTATTTCTAACTTAAATGACAGGAGAGCCAGGTGAACCTGACTTACCAACAGACTCCTCGTCTCAGCTCCATCTTGTTGCTCAGCAACATCACTAACACCCATGCTCAGGCTCCATTTAGCCATGTGTCCTCCCACCACCTAGGAGCAAGCTGCCCATGTCATCACCACAGGTCTCCTGCAGAACCGAAAGTCACGGCCCTACTTCACGTGCTGGAGTTGCACAATCTGTACTGCTGATCGGCAATGCCTGAAGCATCCCGTTTTCCAGGTAAGGAGCCTGCCTATCACTATCAATTCATTAATGTAAGCTTACTGCATTGTAAATATTTCCACTTCTGATTATGTGTTACAGTTTGCAGCCACTGCTGATGAGGTGCTGTGCAGTGGTTGGCACATGCAGTAAATTGCTCTGTGTGAAAGACAACCAGAGTATTTCCTTGCTCACGAGGCATGAACCCTATAAGACTATACAACAGGTGATCATGGTGGCCAGATGCACAAACCCAAGGGCAAGGGAGCATGCTGGTCAGGTGGTGAGCAGTAATTTGATGGAATAGTGAGGATTGCCTCCCCATGCAGTAACCCTCTTCTTCTTGGTGCCCAACTGCTCACACTGTCTTCTGCCTGCCTCCCAACGTAACTCACATACTTCTCCCAGGCCTCCTTTTACAACCTCAGCTCCCTGTGCTAGTGTCCCCACCTGAGGGGGAATGTTCTCTGTAAGGAAAACTTTTCGCAAGCTGCTCAATAGGCAGAAGAACAAGCCTGGCTTTCCATGTCACTCCATACTAAGGTCTATGGAAGTAATTTCCCAATGGTAACAGCATCAGTGCTCAGCTGAGTGACTGGAAGGCAGCAGAATCCTGCAGTTGTTGTACCTGCATTTCCACATACTCTGTAGCATGCCAGTCATGTACTAAGCTCAGAGCAACAAGGCAAGACCCAAGTTCTCTGAGTGCAGCACTGCAGCAGCAATGATCTGGGACACACACACCATAGAGGCTTCATTTAGGTACAACCTTGCTAAGTCTGTTTTCAGTATCCAGGCTCATATCTATTACTTAAAGGAATCCAAAGTCACTTCACACATATCCCATTTCAAATTGCACACTCATCTAAAGAGCTGCATTAGAAAAAAAAAAGTTTTTTTTCACATTAGTTAATTTCAATGTAAATAAACAGTAGGTGACACAAAGGGCTCGTTGACTCTGTCAAGTATAGGCACAAACTTGCATTGCTGATGCCAGCAAATTCAGATTTATCCCTTTCCACTCAGGTAAAATATGCCTGAAGTAGCCAAAATGTACAATAAGTGCCATGGATACATACCATAATATCTGCTTCCCTTGTGGCATATCGAAGATTAGGATCCAGCCAGTACATCACTGCTTTTACCTGCTCAAAGTTAAGGAAGAGCACGAACACCAGGAACAGAAAATAGAGCACACTGAGACCTGCAAAAAGACTCAGCTTTAAAATCATGTTCACTCACAAACCTCCTTGGAACATAGAGAGTCCAAAAAGCTGCTTTCAAACTTGCTCTACATGTGCCCAGTTTGCACAGATGAGTTTCTATAAAGCAGCTACATGCAAAAAAGCTGAAGAGACAAGTCAGATCTCTGAGCACTCAGCCCTTCATATCACCTCCTGGGAGAAGTGATACAATATATGCTCCACTGCATGAACCTAATCAAAACAAAATCAGTCTAATCAGTTTAGACACGTAGTACAAGTCTGTAATCAGGAAGCTCTTTAGTAAGAGATACATTAGGATCCACGATTGGATTAGCTCTGCCTCTTTGCTTTAAGTATTCTTGGTCTCAACTAATGCATGTCTAATGCCTATATGCAGATTTCAACACAAAGATCAATTTAATCATGCCATCTGGCAATTCTGAGCTGTGCTGGCAATAAAAAGTAATTATAAATATAAACTAATGCATGTTTGAGTTACTTTTGTGAGCTGGAAAATTCACTGCTTGAAGCTTTTAAAGATAAATATGATTATTTATTTTCTCACCATTATAAATTATTAAACACTTCCACTTGGGAGTACCAGTTCTCTCCTCCCAAAGCCTGAATATGGATTTTTTTTTTAAAAGAAAAACTTGTTACAAGTTGAGTCCTGGTTACAGACCTGTGGGTAGATGAAGCTGTTGTTGGGAGCATATCTTTACAATATTCACAGGTTCACCAATATCCAAGAGCACATTTGGAAGAGGCATATAAACACTATTTCCACAGTCTCGAACTTACTCGTATCCTGCAGCTTTGTCATGAAAGGCAGAAAGATTAATGCAAATAAACTTAGTATCTGCCATCCAAAATAAACTACAGCAATTCTAAAATGGTATTTTAAACTATAACCAGAATTCATGTGTTAATAATCCCCACTTCATGCTAGAAAGCAACTTTTGTTCAAGTACTCACAAACAGTCCTCTGCAGTCCCTCCTAAAAATACATCAGATAAACAAGTGTCACACTGCTGCAAGAAGCACAGCCTACAGGTGAGGGTGCATCTCGAAATGTGGAGGACACACTACTCCTTCCTTTTACCTACTGAACAGGTCTGAGAACTGAAGCGTGGCTAAATGAACCATGCCAGAAGAAGCAGAATTGAACATGGAAAATGTTGCTCTTGGTTTTGTGTGCAGCTTTTTTCCAAAAGTACAAGGGCTCAAGCTCTGACAGCATCAACATTGAGAATGACCTTTTCCTTTACATTTGCTGGAACCACAAATGAGCAGTAGGACCTGAGTTTCCCAAACTTCCAAGAAGCAGGATTCTTTAACAAGTACTGTCTAGTCAGCAATACCCTCTCAGTGTCAACAGATGAGTAATCAGCTACTTTGAGAGGCTACTTATTTTTAGCTATACAAGGAGAGAGAAACATTCAGTATCCTTAAAAATAAACAGATCAGCTTTTAAATCAGATGTGCCTAATTCTCTGCAAATATGCAGTCTAGGATATGCTCTGTGAACCATGAATTATTTAAAAATTAAACTCCTTATGGTTTTGCTGTGTAATTCAGGTATTTAAGGAGCAGGATTTCACTTTGTTAGTTCTGTAGTTAATAGAACTATCTTCCAAACTACGAATGTGACTGATATTTACAGGAACTTTTAATGAAATTATAAGTTAAGAATATGAATATATATGTTACAAATATTAATAAAGATATGTTAAGCTATACAATGACACGATTTAATAAGCATATAAAGTAAGAGCATATTTTGCCAATAATGAAAAGCAGCACCCTACTCGATTGGATTTAGAAGTCAGATAGTATATGCAGTAGCTATAAAAATGCCAAACCTTTCTGGGGTTGGAAGAGATGGCAGTAGGAAAGGTGTGGGGGAAGGAGATTAGGAAGCACAAACACAACAGGATTAAAACAGTATCAGAATGAATGATCTCTTTTTAATGATTCAGTTTACACCATCCTGACACGCAGTAACTACAATGACATTCCCAAACACAACTATGAATAGATTTTAAGCAACTGCTCAGATGCAGGAGAAGCTTCATAGAGGCTTGATCCACAATTATGTTTCGTGATAATTCCATTTTATCAGAAAATGGCAGATCCTGCAGAAGCAGTGAAAGTCAAAAACATATCTTAAACTTACCAAAAACCATCCTCCATATTGCAGGATGAGGACGCGTAAAGGGTCCTGTGGACAGTAAAACCAAAAGCTTATTAGAAGCCAGTCAATAAGAACCACAAAATTTATCTTTTAGTATATCTCATCTGAGGATTTGGTATGAGCACAGATCAGTTTTCCATCAAACTATGAAATACACCCGAAAGTTGGGGCAGCTACGTTAAAAAAAAAAAGTAATAGCAGATTTTGGAGTGCAAAAAGGACACTGCCAACTAGTAGCGTGTAGACAAAATCTTCCACTATTTTTATAGAGTTGTTTTCAAAACAGTAGAATGCTGTTTGTTCAGCAGACACCACATCTCAAGTGTCACCTGGGGATCTCCTGACCTGGTTTCTAGACTACAGGTCACACATAACTTGCTCCCAATTAAGTAAAAAAAAACCAATTTCTGTGTGTTACCAAAGATACATGGTGCGGAGCCTTCAGACCAACATGAAGTGTTACCAAAGAGGCCTCCTGAAGCTTCCAAACTGAGTATCATAGATATCTGACAAGAAGTAAAATACCTATGCTCCTTACCAGTGTCCATATTCCTTACTTTAGAGCCAGTGATCAAACTGATTTATTAGATTAAAAACCTCTCAGTTAATAGGAAGAGCAGAGAAGGTAAGTCTGATGAAACTGGAAAAACTCTAAATATGAAACGTACATTTAGGTAGTAAGAAGTGGCTGAAAAATATTTTCAACACACACTGAGGACTGCTTACCACTGTATGCACAAAGCTCATTTTTCCCTGGCATTCAGTTTTTCAGAGAATACTTAGTGAAAAGTGTGGATTAAGGATTTTTAACATATGGAAAAAACACAGCCACCTCTGAAGTAAAAAGCTGCCCTGACCACAATCGGTTTCTCCCTGAACGCTGCCAATCGTGAGATAGTTTAGACTTGACACAAGAATCGTGATTCTGCTGACAGCAATAATGAAAATAATAATAATAAAAAAAAACAAAAACAAAACCAAAAACATGCAAATCAGGTAGAAGCATTTCTTCCACAGAATTGACACACAAACTTGTTTACCTTTTTTGCACTTTCTGCTCCTCACACAACTACCAAAACTTTTGTCCAACTTAACTTTCTACTGAGCAACCGTGGTTTTGCATTTTAATATGACTTAGACCATTTCTTTCACTACCTTCTGGTAAGGTGCTGTATGTAAGGTGTTGTCTCTGAGAATTTTCAGAATGACACTTCTGTTAAAACACTGAGGCAGAGTCCTTTTAGACATTATTTAAGGGTCTGTTAGCATCATTACTTAGCAATCTGAGCTGCAACTGCACATCTGCAAATAGGACACCAGTTCTTAGAACCTGACTTCCCTGTTAAACACAGGCAAGCTATAAATAACACATTTTACTGTTATCTCTGCTCAGTATGACTGCAAAACATTTTTAGACTTAACATAAAGAAATTCAAAAGAGTAAAGAAAAAGTACATTGAAAATTGGTATTTAAATAAAAATCAAAATATAGTGGCAATAAAGAGAAATTCACATGTAAAAAAAAGTGAAGTACAAACTGTGTAAACCTTACTCACCATTAGGAAAAGCTAGAACACTGATGATTAGAAAGAAGAAAATCACAGAGAGGATACCCCTCCAAATATTATCCTCTGGTACAGAATCATCCCTAAAGAGACAGACAACAGTGGTCAAGTACATTATGAGGATGAAGCCAGAAGGCTCTGAGGATATATTATTCAAATAAAGACTACATGGAAATTAAATATAAAAAATATGCATGCTGATTATATAACAGTTAAGATAGTAACTCCACTGAATGATTTTCACACTACACTTCTGGGTGTTCCTTTCTTACAAGAGAGTTAAATATTTAATCAACACATGGAAGCCATAAGCATTGTTAGAAGTTTATGTAGAAGCAATGACTAAATTTAACACAAGGTGAGAAAATCTTCCTGCTTTAATGTTCACAGAACATCATCACAAGTACTTTTACACAGCAAACAGACCTAAACTAAAATCTCTGGAAGCCTGGATGCAATTCCTAGGTTTCTCTCTGCTGTTTTGGTGGTACTCGCAATTCATTTCCCTTTGCTATTCCCAATGCCAAATGCCTGAGGTGAGTGCAGAGAGGGCAAAAATAACGACTATAATCAGCCTTTGGAAATAATGAATATACAGCTTAGAATCTGTAACAGAGACATAGCAAAACTTAATAGAGCCAAGGAAAAATATTAATTTGTTTCTAGATCTGTTAAGCCAAAGCTCTGAACAAAATAGCTGGTATTATCTCTGCTACTGTCATATTACGGCCAGAGGACAGACTTAAGAATTCAGTTTGGAATGCCAAGGCAAACTTGACTAAGCTCTTCTTTTTTAGGCAGGTAGAATATGGTGTATAGCAGCAAGATTAACCCTCACCCAAGTCTTCTAACCAGCAGAAAGCTTCTGGGATACTTCAGTAATACAAACAGAAACAAACTTCATAGTATAACTTCATACTTGTCTATCATAGTATGAACAATTACCATTTCATAATGTATCATCCACTACAACTGAAGTTAAAGTTTTACTATCTGGGTAATTTTCATGTATTTAGGATTAGTTTATCTATTTAACTACATTCCTTTACTTATTCCCAACATGCTAATAAAAAATTCCCAGCAAACTTTAGAGGGACAAAGCTCTTCCTGGCAGATTATCTGTCAAATTTCTGGATGATTCAGTAAAGAACCCATGACAGCATAAATGCTGTCCACATTAGATATTTGCTGTGGTAGAAAATATTTCTCACTTAGCCAAATTATTTCTCTTTTGCTCAAAACTGAACCTTAAGAGCTCCAGAGCAGGCTTTCATCACTGTGAGGCATTTAAGCACTGTGTCAGGCAGGCAAAATACATTAAACATGAATGGTTTCTCTGCAGGCCTTTGGGACTCCCCACAGCATTTTTTTTTAAATCAGTTGAGTCCAGATTTACCAGTCATTTTTGAGCAGCCATGCTGCATAGGATGACACTTTACACCAGCTATAAACTCCAGGTTCCAGAGCTTAACTGTGGCTCCCCTAGCAATCCCAAGAGCCTCATGCCATCCAGTGCACTTCCTAGCCAGCGTCTCAGGCTCTGATGGCTCAGACAGCAAAACCATATTCCTCTTTTAACGCAGGCAAATAACACACACAAATGTGCTGTCATGGCTGCCACCAAGAGGATGAATATCTATTTTTTAAGAGAGAACAAATAATGAGAGTCACATAACATCAATTCATCATGGCCAAGAAAGAAGTGACACTGTGATCGCATCACTTAATTGTTGCACAACTGAGATGACTCACCTTTGCGTATCAGGATTCTTAGTACTACTCAGCTTCAGGAAAGCTGTCCAAGTCATATTGGCACTACCCCCAAAATCACCAAAGATGTTGTATGCAGTGTTAAACTGTGTTTCATTCCAAGTGGGTGGCAAAGGCATTTCAGTTTGGCTTGCAGATACATTTCAAAAGGGACAGACATCCAATCTCCTTGCCAGAAGCAGGTAAGAACAGGTGAGAGCAAGAAACTCACTGCTGTGCACTAGTTAGTATAGTGTTTGCCTGAAAAAACTATTTTGAGGAATGCCAAAAGGAAAGACACAATTACGATGAGCTGCAATCGGGAAAATGTGCTAAATCATCTCCTCATTTAGCCCCATAAATGTTGAAGCTGATTTTGAAATATAAGCATTCATGCAGTAAAAACAAGGTTTCTAATGCTTGTGTGGGAGGACAGATGAGAATTCTCTCAATTTTAACCCACTTTACCATGGCATATTTCAATTCTGTGACTTTTTAGAGAAGAAGTAATAAAAAATAAAGCACATAATCTTTCTCTCTCTTCTGCTCTTCTTGAGAGCACTACATCACACTTGCACATTACATCATAAAGAAAAAGAAAAAAAGGATATTCAACTGAGTTAAAAATAGTTAGGACACTAAATTTGGAATGGGGGCAGAGGTGGGGGAGAAATCTTCCATAAACTCAAGCAAATCTAAATGGACAATAATACAGTTTAATCAATTCCATTAAATAAGGTACATGAAAGACAACAGCCCTACATCCTCATAGGTCTTACTCCTGCTTCCACAAACCCTTGAAACTTCATGGGAGCACCTACTAATCTGTCACCTTTCTCAGTCCTATTGTTGTATCCCACAAAATATCCCCTCCAGCACTCACCTGCCCTCCTGCTGGTTGCCTCTGGGCTCAGAGAAGGCCACATCACTCTCTCTAGGGTAGAGGAGGACAGGGAAGGCTACAGCCACTCCATGCCTCTGCTCCAAGGTGCAGAGTAGAAGCAAGGGAGCCTGTGTCTGGCTCATTCAGCAGGAAATAACCAAGGCAGCTGTAGCCATTGTCAGAACCACTAGAAGGATGTGCTTTAAAGAACAGAACACCCTCTATTCCCCACTTCGTTCAAGTGAAATGAAACACACATTTCTTTTCCTAAATTATTATTATCATTATTGCTACCTGAAAATTACTGCTATCTGAAGTTCAGCTTCACCCTTATCTGTCAGCTCAAAGATAGTATCAGCTGCTCTCAGTGATCCGAAGGGAAACTCCACATTTTGGCTTAGTATATACAAGGGAAAAGCATTTTTCAAGTTTCTCTGACACAAAAGAAGTACAGAAGTGACAAGAAAGACTTTAAGGGAAGCAAATTTCCTCTGATGAAGTTCCTGAAAAAACAAATTTTACTTAACAACATCAGTATGAATTTATCATAGAAAATCCCCTGCTTAATAAATTGACCAGGAGAGCTACAGAATAACTGCCAGCACAGGAGAAGCAAAGAATCACTTGTGACACCTTAGTGGGAAGTCTACAGTGCCTTGCATTCAGGAGGTGGAAAAATGAACACAGTCACTGGAGACTCAAGGCAATAAGCTGATGGAAGCAGAACGACCAGACCTAGGAGCACACACTGTAGGCACGTAAGGAAATATCTCCCCTCCCCCAGTTTCTCAAAGACTGCATACAATTTGGGTACTGTCCCAAATAAGGCATGGAGGCAGCACTCTGATTTAGGAAACTCCTACAATAGTTGGAATCAGCAAAAGGGGGATAAGGGAGAAAACAAAATCTGAGTAGCTTCCACAACCTGAGAAGAGGAGAAACAGAGAAGACATAAAGAGAAATCAACTGACATTTAAACACAGGAAGTGAGGCAAAGTGAAACAGAGGGAAGCAAATGAAACCGAAGAAGCTGGAGTTAGAAAGCTAACAAAACAAATGGAATGAAGAGCTAGCAGTACTCTTGAAAAAATGCAACATCCCAGAAGCAAAGCAGTATTATTTGGGACTAGAAAACACCATAGTTCTGAAATCGCTCTTGGCTCGTCCTCTGCTTGAAAGAATTGGCAAAATTCCTTCCCCAAAGGTGAGCCATCGGTTCCATTAATCCTTCAGAATTATGTCTTGATGAGAATATCTTATTAACTCACAAGTTTGACCTAAATTGGCCCTTTGGAAGGAAAAATGATCTGGTGAGGAGAGAAAGGACAAGAGGAGCACTTGTAGCAAGGTCTGTAATTAAATATGGTAGCAAAGCACAGAAACATGTCTCTGATTTAGAAGTTAAGAAGGGATCCAAGTAGAACAAGGGATGTGTTCAAAAATATCTTCCTTGGGGCTATGCATAAGATGAAACAAGAAAAGGCACTCCTCAGACCATTTGCAGTTACACTATTTTACATTTCCTTATGCTTCTGTCTCAGCTCAAGCCAGCCTTCGCCATTATTTCCACAGCTAATAAAAACTATACATTTGGATTCTTAGAATGAAATACAAGATTATACACTGAACTGTACATGAGGCCTAGGGATAAATCCTGATTTTCTTACATCTAATGGTAAGTTTAAGCAACAAGGCCATTGAAATCCGCAACTGTGTGCACACAATGCCACAAAAGTTTAAATGAGCCCCAAACATGATGCACTACTCAGTCAAAACCTCCCAGGGATCACTGTTTCCCTACAGACTGCACAATTTACTCTAAAGGAGGATTGAGCAATCCTCTTCACAACCCCATTCAGTAGGAGGCAATAACAAGTATGTACAACTTAGAAAAACATTCAGGATACTCATCAGACTGCACTGCTATACCCTTTGCTTTCAAACAAGGCTCCTAAAAAAGACTGTGTCCGTTCCTAGCAGCATTGCCATGAATGACTGCAGGGGCGATGCCCACAGAGCTTTCCCTGTAGTGTGCAAAGGATGTGGCTAATCCTATCGGTGCCACGGCCTAAGCCGACCTGTGACTGGCCGCAGACAGTGCTGTGTAGAAATGATGCTACACAACACTCCCGTCTACTGCACGCTTGTAGATCATCTGCTTGAGTGATGTCACTGCTGGGCCGCTTGATAGCCCAGTAAAAGCCATTTTTGGCAACTACTTGAAATGCATTTTAATAAAGACTTCAACAGAGAGCCTCGAAACTATCACCAAGTTCCCAGGAACTGCAGTGGGGAGGACAGCAGCTCTGGGAAGGAGGAGAGGATGCCCGCTCTCCAAACATGGGCCTCCCGCGCACGGGGCTCCGGCACACCGGGCCCAGGACCGCCCGGCGGGAACGGCCCGGCTCTGGCCCTGCCGACAGCCTGGCCCCGGCAGGGACCGCGCTGCCCGTGCCCGCCCTGGGGCCGGGCACGGACCCTCCCCATCCCTGACCCGGGAATCCCCTTCGGCTGTGGGCCGCCAGCACCGGGGGCGGGGAGGGGGATCGTCGTGGCGGCCGCGCACCTGGTGAAGGCGAAGGCCATGAGGCTGAGGATGGTGAAGCTGAGGAGGGTGATGGTGTGCGGCCGGTAGAAGAACTCAAGCGTGATGTCCTCCACCTGCTGCTCGTTGATCATGCGGAAGTGCAGGCGGTAGTTCACGTCGTTCTTGCTCAGGGTCCGGCTCCCCACGCACGACGCCATCTCGCCCCCTCTTCTCCCCTCGTCTCAGCGCAGCTCGGGTTGTCCCGGGGCGGGGCAGGGCAGGGCGGCGCGGCCCGAGCCCGGCTGCCCGACCGCGCCGCGTCCCCCTGCGGGAGCCGAGCGGGGCCGAGCGGGGCAGCGCCGCTCCTGCCGCGCTGAGGGGAACGCGAGGCGAGGCGAGGCAAGGCAGGGCAGGGGAGGGGAGAGGAGGAACTCGCCGGGCCGCGCCCACGCGCGAGGGAAGGACGAAGGCAGCGCCGGAGGGGGAGAGGTGGAGCCACACCGCCCCCTTTGAGCAAGCGGTGGGAAGCACTCTGGTGCCTGTATGTTCCCCCTCCCCCCCTTTCCTCGCGGATGGTCTCGCCTGGGTTGGGCTGGGGGCGGGGCACACACGTGGTCAGGCCGCGCCGAGCGGGGCAGGTGAGGTGATGGCGGGTCTCGGGGGTGTTTCCATGATCTCTCCATGGTCTCCACATTCTCCTGCATACGCAGAGGCTGCCGGCATGGGGAGGCCTGCGAGGGGCGGCGAGCGCGGCGCGCCCGGCGCGCCCGGGCCCAGCCTCCCCCGCCCTGTGGCGCTGTGCGGTGACGGCCCTGCGCAGAGGGCCCTGTCCCGCGGAGAGGGTTGAGGTCCTGGCTGGGCTTCCCCCGTGCTCCCAGAGGGACAGCTGTCGTACAGGACGACGGGCAGTGGCCTTCAGACCCGGCTTCTCTCCCCAGTTTTGCCTCCTCCGTTTGCCACGCGTTTAAAGCCTTAAAGCATCTCCTTGGTGCTCTGTAGTGAGCCATTGCTGTAGCGCCCAGGGTATTCGCCCTCCCGGCTCTGCGGCCAGGCAGGCAGCGCCTTTGCCGCCCCTCAGCCCTTTTTTCTCCCGGCAGGATGCTGTGTTGAGGTGGGAGATGGCTCTGTGGGCCCGGCAGGCCTCCCTCTGGTGTTGCCTGCTGAACACGGCCCGCGCTGCCGGGTTTCCTCGGAGGCTGAGGAGCTGCGGGAGCCCCGCACGGACCTGCCGTGAGTTCGCCCCTCTGGCTCTGCTGCCCGCCGGGAAGGACGGTGTTCTGTGGAGACTACAGGCATGCAGGCATGCGTCTGTAGGAAGCTGTTTCGCGCCCGACAGTGCCAAGGATGGATCCTTCTCTCCTCTGGAAAGTAATTTGCCTTCACCAGTAAAACAGGAACAAGCAAAAGTAGAAACATTACCTGATCTGAATGCAAAAATCCTGAATGAAGGTAAGAGGTTTTAAGGCATACCATTTTTCCCGAATCTTCAAATCATGCTTTCAGGATGTTGTGGTTTAACCCCAGCTGGGTTCTCTTTTCTTGGCCCGTTTATCTAAAACACTTATCTGGAGTTCCTGACTTTCACTTGGTTTTAGCCCCCTAGTTAATGCAGATATTCTTGTGGTCACCGTGGCATCCAAAGCATACCTTTAAGGTGAGATGAAGATAAAATGTTTTGGGTAGAAATGTAGGTCTGGAGCTGCCATTTGAAGGCTTTTTCTTTTGATAAATCTACCTGCAGTAGTTGAGCGTTTGCCTTTCCCTCACATACCTGCTGATACAAACTAAGGGTATTGGTTTGGGTGTTTTCTTTGGGTTTTTTTTGAACAAGGCTGGGGGAGTCCACGCCTGAAGCAGCTCACGCAATACAGCCGTTTGAATGATCAGGAACGAACAACAGGAGGCAGCAGTGTGAAGCCTGCTTTAAGCACTGCTCTGATGAGAAATGCTCGTCCAACTGTCTCCTGAGGAAAGGAGATGAAAGATAAATACAATGTGCAGCTCTTCCTGAAACATTAGGATCATGCTACTTACTGTGGAATCTGTCTTGGTAGTTCTGGTGTGTCTTTGTTTTCTTGACATGGAAGAGTGTTACCCTAGTCTCTAGGATGGCATTGTGCAAAGGTACAGGGGACAGAAAACCCCCTTCCTGAAGAGTTTATAATCAGGGCTGTTGATCAATAATCAATCTGATAATTTAGGAAGATGCTAGCAGCCAGCCTGGAAACAGTAAATCTAGCTGCTGTGAGCTCCTGTCAGTGGAAGAATAGATCCATTTATAGAAGTATTTTTTAAAGGACACTAAGCTCTGTGACTTCAAACACTTAAGGGGAAACAAGCATAATAATGTTCTCTTTGAAACCTTAGTGAGTAGGAAATGGAGCTTGATTTCTTTTGCTGTTAATGGTGGTGGCAGTCAGCAGCCATTCTGTAATGGATAAGACATGATAGCTTGGTTGGAGTTGGCTGTGAAATGCAGTTGTTTTAACTTTCAGTATATTTCAGGCATCAGATTCAAAAGAGGCATAAAATAGTGGGCTTGTCAGGTTATGAAAAATAATCTTTGCGGTAGCCTTTTTCTGGATATGATCAGGCAAGAATGCATTTGTGAAGACATGAAAGGAGATTCTTTTTCAAGAAGGTGATGTGATCTGCAGACTGAAGGCAGGCTGGCTGGGTACTACACTGATTTGGACACATGAGCAAGAGCTGATGAGCAGTGACAAGGAGATGGAACAGAGGCAAAAACTGGGAGTACAGTCTATGTTTTCAAATAATAGGTTGAATATTCATCTCATGCACAGTGTTCCTGCATTTTGAACTGGATTTTAGGAGATCTGTATAGCATTTGGTGGGAGCAGCTTTGTCTTTCACAAAATGCATTTGGGTCATCCACATTTGTTTCTTAGATTGGGATGACATCCCACCTTCATCTGCCTTGGAAGAGATTTCTGAGGAAGAAGCTGTACAGATCATCGCAGAACCGATTCTTCCCCTTCAGTCTACCACGCTCCGAGATTATGTTGATCATTCAGAAACCCTTGCAAAGCTTGTCCACCTAGGTATGTGTGATTTTATTTGTGTAGTTTGCCTATGTCTGGAGCTCTGGAGATTCTTGTGTTTTACTGGTTCCCTTGTAAACTTGAAAGAGAGAATGGTGACTAATGGCAAAAAGCAGCAGAATATTATCCAGAGTAAATGGAAAAAGAAGGGGGCTGTGTCACTCAATAGCAATGCCATATTTCTTGAAAACAAAGCTGGCTAGTTTTAGTCCCTTAGCGCTTTGGGTGCCAGGAGGAAGCATCTCTCACAGCTTCTGGAGGTGGGGAACACTATGTAACTTAATTGGTCTCTCTTCTTTTGGGATGGCTAAGGTTGCTTTAATTTGCTGCAAAAGAAAATGCAGTTCTCCATCCTTGGAAAGAAGGAGAGTGGTTGCTGTGCAGAACCTTAGAAGTGGGGCACAGTAAACTAGAGGCAAGAGTGAAGGATGGAAAAGAACCTTCTCATCAAAAAGCAGTTGGACTGCAGGTATATCTGAGTTCAAGGTTGCTGGCCACCTCCTTGTTGCCCAAACATCCAAGGAACACTAGAAGAAGGTTGGAGAAATAAGTATTTGAGAGGGGGGAATCTGGCCCCATGTAGTAACAAATTACTATGTGTGAGTCAGTATATAAAGGCACTTCACTGCACAATTGTTCTCTTCCCTTGTATAATGGAGTTGGGAATTTCTTGCACACATACTTCTTTGCAACAAGAGCATATGGCACATGCAGGATTCACTGCAAATGTCTTCCTTCAAAAAATAAACTCAGCAAAAGGGTCTAAAATGACTGCTTGTTTTATCTGGAATCTTTCCACAATATACAAGGTGTTATGACCTTGCTGTGTTGAACAATTAAAGTATGCCAAATCAGTGCAAAAAAAGGAGTAGTCCTGTAAATTCCAACGTGCCTTTGTGAAACATTTACAGGAAGTAATGTCTGAGTTTATTTAAAACAATTTTTAATTTTGTTTGTTGTAGGAGTTGACCTATCCCAAGTGGAAAAACGTCAAAAGGCAGGTCAGCTCTTACTGACCTTGGACTTTGAAAAAGATATAAGAAAAATACTTCTGTTTCTTAAGGATGTGGGTGTAGAAGACAATCAGCTGGGACCATTCCTGACCAAAAATCCATACATCCTTGGTGAAGATCTGGAAGCTTTAGAAACCAGGTAAGACTTTCAAACAGCAGCGGGGTGTTAAGCCCCTTGCGTTGAAGATCTGCTTTCCCCTATGGCTTAACCTTACCTGAATGATTGCGTGTTGCCTCCTGCTTCCTTTCTGACTCAATCCCTGGCTCCTTGTTCCTGTGCCTTCCCATCTGTTGGCACTGACGTGTGGTGATATCATAAGTCAAGTCAACACCTTGATCTGCCTGAAAACTGACCATTAAAAAATTTTACTGCCCATCCCTATCTCTCTGCCCCAGAGGAAGCAGCTTGCCCTCCTAGGCCACTTGCTTTACCTGCGTCAGCTTGGATTCCAAAATGTCAGTCCCTGAGGCTTTTTAGAAATATATTAACCTCTTTAGTCACGATTTGAAACCACTCTTCTAGATGCTACATCTGCCTTGTAAATTCTGCAGTAAAAGAAGCAGACCAGATCTCTTCCGTGATGACATCTAATAGCAGCAGAAGGTTTTGGCGACACTCTTTTTTCCTGTTGTCCAGCTCAGACTGAACACAAGACTACAATGAACTAATTTGTGTGTGTGTTTTCATTCACACCTTTATGGCCCTACACTGTTCCTCAGTCCCTAAAATGGACTTTTATTCTTAACATTACTTCAAATTCAACAGTTTATTTCAGAAGAACTCGTGTGTGAATGTACATACATTTTTTAATGAACTCAGAACTTCTCAGTATTTAAAAATTCCAGAAAAGAAAGTCTGTCTGCTTGGCTCTTGCATGTAGTAGCTGTCCAAGACAGAAATCTGAAAGTACGGATATTTGGTAACAAGCACATGATCTGGATATATAAGATAGACCTGACTTCTTTTTTCTCTGTTCTTCAAACCTCCTGTTCAGTAAGTGGCCTTTCAGAAACAATATCCAAAGAGAACCTGTGTAATTTTTCAGCAGTAGTTTTGAGTCTAGATATCAGAGTTATTTATACTCTGCTGAAAAGAGTATTTTTTTTTTGCTATGATAAATATACTGACACTTCTGTGAAGTCAAATTCGCTTTTCATTGACAGTCCTGTGGCACTGAAAAGCAAATTTGCGAAGTAGGGACTGAACAGAGCAGTCCAATTTCTCCTTAATTTTCTGCATTACAATTCTTCAGTAAGTTTGACACTGGTGAGTGCTTTCCTGCAAGCTTTAAAGCAAGTGTGCTGTGAAGGCTGTGAAGTGAATGTGTCTCAGATAGCTGTCTTTTGAAAGATGAGTATCACCTTTGCATAAACAGTTCAGTGCAGATGGACATGGTATTGGTTACATCACTCTGGAATGTTTTATTGCTATGGATTCCACGTTGCTAGGAAACAAAACACAAATTTCAATAGATTTGGCATTTGACTTCAGATAAACATCATAAAAGTCAAAACATTCCATAATTCATAACAATTTTGACAGTTGCAAATCAGTGTCTGTACTGCAGCTGCACCAGATGCTTTGTTTTACGTTATTGTTAATGATGACTTAAAACTGTTAACATGCTACATAGAACTGCTGACCCCTGTAGTAGAACGAGGGCTAACCTTGGTGCCAACACTCACAGATGTATCTCAAACTTTGGCCAAGTTGGATGATTGTGTTTCTTTAATATACCAGTTTCTGGAGTCAGGTTATTACAATCTTGCCATCCCTCTTTTAAGTTTCTTGCCTTTCCAGAATGTGAAGAAATGCTTCAGGTGTGAATCTTAATGACTTGTTAACAGAAAACAAGTGGAGCCAGGACAGCCAAAAGATTTTATTTTTCATCTGCTCATTTAGCTATGTTTCTGGGATGATTGGCAGCTGTGTCCTTGAAAAAATTAATGGAAGAAGTATGGTGTAGCCAAGCTGCAGCATTCGAAACATAATGGGATAATTTTTAAAGGGCCAGGTGGTTATTGTTGTGTTCTGATTTTCTCCCCCTCTTAACCTTTCCTTGTCTTTGAGGTTTCTGCAGCCAGTTCTATCAGCACTGTCTGGAGCCTAGGCTGCTACCTTCTCTGTTGGGGTGCCTGCTCAATCAGGAATTGGTCATCTAGAGCTTGTTCTTGTATCTTCTGTCTGGACATTTTTTGGCTTGTGATGACTTCATTTTTGAGGGTTTGTGGAAAGAGGGAGTCTGTAGTGACTGGAAGGTAATTTTGTTTTCTCTGCACAAGATGTGGTTTAACACAGAGCCTGTTTTTTGCTGAATACCTGCTTCTGCAGAATACTCTGCAATCCATTTAGTATCTAAATTACTGCCAGATAAAAACAATTCTTATGTGCTTTCATCTGACAGAAAATACTTCCATATACTCTCATCTACAGCCAAAGGAAATCTCTCCAAACTGTAGTTCAGTTGTTTTGTAGATGGAGACATGGATTAATTGTGTCTCTCTTTATGTGCTGTATTGGCCCTCCTTTGTTCCTTTTTCTGGTAATCACGTATGGTAATCATCTACTGCAAGTAGTACTTGAAATAAGATTTCACATTCACTGAATTTAACAAAGTTTGGAAAAAGTATTGAGTTGGAAAGCAAGAAAGCTCTGTTAAACATAAAAACTTTAGTCAGCTCCTTTTCCTTTCCGATGACCAGATATTTGTTACCTAATCGTTGGACCACTGACTGAAAGTAGGGACCTATTGCAACAAATGTAACTTCAGCTAATCTAGAGATGCCTTTTCGGACAATGTCTCTACACATAACGTTGTTGTAGGGTATTTCTACTCCAGTGCTATTGGCAAAACAGGGATGTATGAGGTATAGTACAATGTTCTTTCAGCAGTAGAAATGGAATTCATTAAAATAGCAAAAAGCTGTATATATCTTCTTGTCCATACCCTATGATGATCTATTAATGTGTTTGCAATCTAGGAGACAGGCTGGTAGTTAAATGTAGGTTAACATAGTTATCTGCTTAAGTACAGCTGGAAGGAATTAAAATCTGTCTTCAGTATTGACATTCTGCTCTGAGGTTTATTTTACTTCTAATTAATTGGAAGGGAGGGTATTTTGCTTTTACGATAACTGCAGAATTCATCCTAATTATTTTTGGCAGGGTTGCATGTTAATGCTAGAACATCTGTCCATTTATAAGATATCACTGAGGAATTTAAGCAGTACTGAATAAATGGAGGCAATAAAATTTTCATCACTGGATTTTATTTTGTTTTTGTTCTCTTTCTAGAGTGGCTTACCTAAAATCAAAAAAATTTGGTAAGTCAGAAATTGCTCAGATGGTCTCGAGAGCTCCATATCTGCTGTTGTTTTCAGTGGAAAGACTGGATAACAGACTGGGTTTCTTCAAAAATGAACTTGGTCTCAGTGTAAAGAAGGTAAAGACTGAAGTCTTTAGTTATTTTCTTATTAACAACTGTAAGGGCTTGCAGTATGAATATTTCAAGTGTTTGGAGGTTATCCACAAACATCAGTGATGTTACCATGAGAACACAGAGGGTTACAAGAGGGTAACATGGTTTTAACTGCCTGTGGAAGTGATATAGACACCTAACATTCAGAAGTCCTGAAGTACAGGTTTTGAAGATGACTTGCTACAGATTATTTACAAACAAGCACGCATATGTCCAGTTTTATTACTTGAGGTGAGTTAGAGGACTGAATTCATTACCGAAACAGCAAGCACCTTTTATAACTTCTGGAAAATTAAATGCTTCTCTTCATCTCCTCAAGATACTGCAAAATACTTAACTCATAATTGAAAAATTGTCTAATGTGTGAATATTATATCATATCAAACTAAATGCCAAATTATATACTCAGTTCACAATGAGTAACCTCTGGGTTTGCTTGTGACTGTGTACCACGCTTTGTGCTTAGCAGGTATTCAGCACTCTGCTTTGGGATCTTCAGGGGAGGTAGTAGCTGGACTTGCTTGGAATAAGTGGGCAGTGTTAGGTGTTTCCTACAGTAGGTGAGGATTGCAATGAATGTCAAATTCCAAGTGGAATCAGGGTTGCTTTGCTGGCTTCTATCAGCTGAACAGTCATAGCTGTCACAGTGCTGGTTGCTGGCCGTCCTATGCTTGAGGTAAGAGACCTCCCCAGAAAAGGGTTTAGTCACTGCCTTGTGCTCAGGGTGGATTACAAGTGATTATGTGGCTTCGGGGACGTGGAGTAATTTCTTGTATTGCCATTATACTATGGTCTAACCAGATCCTGAATTAGACAAACTCCACTGAGCTGAAAAATCCTTTTATAGCCTTATTGGGTAGTGTGTTGTTAACTTCTTTAAAAAGATGGGAAGAAATAGCTTGAGCACTGAGAGAGACAGAGCTCTTGAGCATGCTTTTGACGCATGCTTTTACTCCCTTTTCCCATCTGCTTTACAACACCTATGTTGTTTTTTGTTTTCCATTTGAGTAACTTTTTGCATCTTAATATACTGCTGCTTCATACAAACTCCTCCTTGGTGTAGAAATAAAAACGAATTGCATCCCTCTTCCGGCTGCAAAAAAAAAAAGAAAAAAAAAGCTTATATGAGATCTTTCTTTCACAAATGAATTCACAAACAAGCTTTCAGTAATACTCCTTTTGTGTTTTCCCTAATTGTAGACAAAGGACCTGGTAGTTCGTCTTCCAAGGCTACTGACTGGCAAATTAGAACCTGTAAAAGAAAATCTTCAGGTGAGTTTATGAATAGATATTAAAAGCGTATTGTGTATCCATATAGTTCAAGAGTTGTCAGAAGATAAAATTCCTAGAGGAGACTCATGCATAGAAAGTATTTAACGAAATAATTTTAGTGGAGATATAAAATAACTGAGGATTTTGTTCAAAAATTTATTTTCCTCTATATCTTGCAAGCGTATAGAATACATGGAGCAGTATCTTATTGTCTTGTACTCTGATGCAGTGTCCTCCTGCCAAAAGTTGCTATCTGATGACACAAATTGTTACCCCTGTTTTATGAGTAGAAAAACATTCCCTCTTTTTTCCCCCCCTTAATTATTATGGGTTTTTGCTAACTTGGGCTGTCCATGAGTATTTAGGAGCAAGAAATGTGCAGTTGATTATTTTCCTCTTGGCAGGTAGCTGGTCTGCCAAAATGTGCATTTGACACCTATTGTCTGATAGCAGATGGTCGTTATTAACAACTGTTGGGTAAATAACTTCAAACCCCCAGAGACTCCTTTCCCTTTTGAAAATGTAACTATGTATTGGTTTAATTATTGTGCTGTAAAGCCATCGAGGCCAAACAGCATGATGTATTATAACAATTTGTGAAATTCCATTATCCTATAATGCATAACTGTGACTTAAAATGTATAATTTTCAGACGGACTCACTGCTCTGAAACTATTAAACACTAGAAATCTTGCAATCTGGAATGTGTGTGTGGTAAGGGAGGAGACTGGAAAGTAGCAGACTGTTCTAATTAATAGTGCTTTCTTTTTAATGGACATGGTTTCCACAGGCTAGGGATTCAGTATATTATAATGAATGTGTTTTTAAGATTCTCAGTTCTATGTGACTATCTTGTTTATCTACCAAATATATATATATAAATAGCATTTATTTTTAACGTGTGAGAGAGAGGGAGAGAGAGGTAGGATTTTTAGGTTCTCACTGTTGAAATCTGCTCATAATTAGAAGCTCTAGCCTTTCAGGAGGTTGGATATTTCGGTTTCAGAATCTGGGTTCAGATCTGTATGTCCTAAACTGATGGTGGGAGGGCAGTACTTGGAAAGTGAAACCATGTACCACCAGTTCAGAAGTGATCAGGTCATTTCCTTCATTTTGAATGGACTGTTATTTAGAAACAACTACTGGTTGTCAAAAGATACCCGCCATGATAAATGATCTGAAGGATTATTATTTGTTCCATCCTTTGAAGGTTTCATCCAGCACGATTAGAGATTAACACAGTAAAACCTGACAGCTTGCATTACCACTGCCTATTGTGGGAATAATATAGAATAAGTTGAATATTGCTGAGACTTACACAGTAAGAATATTAGCATATGTGGCCTAGAGAGTTACTGAATATTAAATATGTTTGCTGTCAAACTGAGTGCAGTCAAAGCAATTTACACTTGAGCTCACGGGTTCTGGCATGAGGGAGCTGTTCCATTTCAAAGAGTAGAAGATAAAAGGTCAGGATTCTTGTCACAATTACCCCTACAGTGGGCCCAGCTTTACATCTGCAGTGATTTAACATTTGGTCTTATCAGGTTGTGTATCGTAATGCAGTAACTTACCACTGCCAACTCAGATCCATGGAAGATACTACTGAATGCAAACACTTCTTTTCATGCCTGAATGCTGTCTTAGTTGATTGGTATTTTGTGTGATGCACAAATATTTATAAAGCAGATAAGGAAAAACCAGGATTTGAAAGACCTGATTATAGTCACCTCTCGAAGCAATTCCCTGTGAGGATCTGTAAGTCCTAAGGTATCTTCAAAACCCAGTTTCTAAGCCCTTCCCTTTGTATTTGCCAAGCAATTCTGGAAAAGAGCTGCAGTCTTGGCACATCAAACTGGACAAATGAAAAGCACCACATTTTTGCCAATTGAAGTAGTACCTGGGTTGGATTTAAAAGTCTGGTTATGTTGACTGACAAGCATACCCGTTTCATGGCTGGAAACAAGCTGCTTATAAATGTCACTGGAAGACAGAAGAAATGGCTGAGTTACCAGACACTCCTGTATGCTGAATTCCTTTCTCAACAACTCAATGAACTGCTTGCCATTCTGCAATCTGGGAGGAGTGCTTATGATTTTATTGAAAAAATGTGTTTTGTTTTCCTTTTGGGAAATCGTAATTGAAGTCAAGGCAGTCTCTGAAAAAGACATCTTACTTTAGACATTATTGAACTCTAAAACAAGTTGATAAGACTGCATATTCTACACAGCTCTTTCAGGTTCAACAGTCTTCAGTTGAAGACTACAGGACTGAAATTATACTCCCTATTATAAAAAATGTAACTTGGATACATTAGCAAAGAAGTAATGTTTCATTGCTGTGTTTTACAGAGCTCAGCAGCTCCACAACAAGAAAGTCAGTCTTTTGACAGCTTGGTATTGAAACTGGTGAAGGATCTTAGGGCAGAATTTTTATGCTTGTGACTGCCACGCATATGTAGACACTGGTTTTTGTTGATATCTCAGACAAGCTGAAAAAAACATAGTATTCACAGAAGTCATCTTTACTTTGGGGATACTCTGTAAACAAATTACACTTTAATCCAGAATGATAACTTGCATTGTCTGACTTCAGAACAACTGAAGGGGTGGATATTATTGTGGGATGCATTCTTGTTGCTGTGTGACAAAGGGTAGAAGAATTTTACATCAGTTTATTTCAGTGGACATTTAAGTAAGCCAAGTTTGCTGTAGCTAACTTGTAAAGGTAAAATTGTGTTCTTTTTCAGGTTTGTCAGATCGACCTTGGTTTTCAACGCAATGAAATTCAACAGATAGTGTATAAAACCCCCAAGATTTTAACCGCAAGTAAAAAGAGGCTCAGACAGACATTTGACTACTTACACAACATAATGGGCATTCCCCACCACATGCTTACTCGCTTTCCTCAGGTGAGTTGTTAATCTGGGAATAAATTGTAGGTGCTTTTGTCACAGCCACTTCACTAATACGGTGCTGAAGGTGGAGCCTCACTGTATGCAGTGAATTCACGTGTGAATTCTTCAACTTGCCTGTGACTTTTACTGTAACTGGGACAACTTATATTGGCAATTCAGAAAACATGGAGGATTCCAGTGTGGAAGTGTTGCTTTTTTTCCCCTGACACGTTACATCACTAACCCCAGTCTTGTGAATTTTTACGTTTTCAACAGAGGTAGTCATGCTTATCTCTTCTGGATTCATGCAAGAGAGATTACTACCTGCTTAGGGATTTGCTTGTCCTGAAATCTTACCTAAGAGACACAAGGGAAGACTGATTATGCAGAAGATCTGTTCATTAGATAACATGTATACATATAAACATTTCTTTCAGATTTGTCTACTTAAAAAACTAATTTTAGAGATTTAGGATCTGAAAAGAGTGTAAAGAGAAGAGAAATTCTGTCCATTAGGCACTCAAATTCTCATCGGTGTTCCTATTGCTGTGGCAATTGCTAAAATATCACAGGATTGAAAATAGATTGGTTCCCTGATTACTAATTTTTTTCTATCTCCTCACTACTGTTATTTCCTCTCAAAAGTTGAAAGCTGTAGTCACTTCATTCAATGCTGACATGCAGTCGCAATAGCTTCTTAGAAGGTAAAAGTGAAAGGACAAATTGCAGCTTCTGAACTGAAATAATTTTCTTATAAAGCAAGTCTAGTAGAGAATCTAACTGGCTAAAAAGCCAAAATTGTATGGGGAAATAAAACTACTTCCCAGGATTTTGATTGCTTCTCTTGCTGTTTAATATATCTTTACTTAAGGACGATGCTTGCAGTAACTCCAATCTCTGTCAGTTTTGCCCTCCTTGATACATAAGTGACCACAGGTCTTTCTCATTTCCTTCTCAGTTGTCTTATTGTTAGCTTTGTGGTTCACCTCATTATTTTTCTTCCCTTTCTTTGGAAGGGTAAGTGGAGACCTCTATTCCTTGTTCTTGGCACAGTCACTTCTTCTCTTCCCTGTTCTTCCCTTTCATCCTCAAAAACTGTGAGTTTCAGGATATGGTTAGTGCAAGTCAGTCTGGTGGTCTGGCCTTTAACTTGTGCATTTACAAATGTATATATGTCTCTATCTGTACTTCCTTCTATCCCAAATTACAATAATGCTGAAGATAAGAGGTATACAGGATTTTTTTTCATCAAATGCTCTCTGATATTACAGCTGTTCTTGTAACCATTCTTTCTATCAGCTAACTCCACAAAAGGTGGTGAAATTTTTTTCTCCTGTCTTCTGACACTCTCTTGAAATTCAAGGAAGGCAGAGGAGGAACAGTAGTTTTGTTTCTCTCCTAGTTCAATTAGTTTGCATCCTCGTGAAATCCTTCTTTCATCAATGTAGTCTCTCTTTTTTAGTAAAATCTCTGCTTGCTGTAGCATTCATATTTTCACCATTATCCTCTCTCTAGCCACTCTCTCTGCAGTAGTACTGCTCAGAAATGCAGTTAGATGTCTGCCTTTAAGACTTAACTGTGCATCTCATCTTCTCTACTTCCTTCTCTTTTTAGATGTTCTGCTGATTTCTTTGATGTTTCCCTTACCATTGTTCTCACCTTTCACTGTCTAGATTTTTATTGTGGCAGGTATCTTCAAAGGTAGGCACTGCAGTGCAGCAGAAGACAAGTGGTTGTTTTGAACCACCACACTCTGCCTTTTAGCTGTGTTATGACAGCAGTTGCAGCCACTCACCTTTTCCCTTGCCACTGTGCCATTTGTTGGTTCACATTATACCATGTGGTCACCTGTTCATTTCTTCCTTGTAACAATGCTCATCTGAATCTGTCTGTAACAATAAATGCTTCTGATAGTATAGGGAAAATGCTCCCTGTTTCTGAATATCTCTTCTCCACTTCCTTGGCTGTGATTACACAAAAATAATATAGTTGTTATATATAAGTAAAAAACCTAACGTGCTTGAAAGTTGTATCTATCTGATTGTGTACGTAGGTCAGTGTATTGTATTGAGGCATTCAGAGTTTAGGTAATTTATATATAAATGTAACCTACCTGGTGTTTGATATGAATTAGAAGAAAATATGCAAATGATTTGTTTTCTTCCTAGATCTTCAGTTGGTCTAAAAAATGCTCTTATTTTAGATGCCTTGTAGTCTGAAATTTAGACAGTCTAAAAATTGCTTCCCTTTTTTTCTTTCTTAGGTTTTCAACTCAAAGCTGTTACGAATCAGAGAGAGGCACATGTTTCTTGCATTCTTGGGAAGAGCCCAGTATGACCCAGCACAACCCAGTTACATCTCTCTGGACCAGCTGGTATCCCTGCCTGATGAGGTGTTTTGTACAGAGGTTGCCAAAGCTTCTATACAGGACTTTGAAAATTTCTTAAAAACACTTTAGTAACACATGTAAAAAATAATAGAATAAAGTTATGAAATAAACATACTTTATGGAACCAATCCCCTTTAAGGACTCTAAACTTTTCTATTACTCGTTTAAGATTTCATTGCTTATGAAACATTTCTAGGATTTAAAGGCTCACAGTAATATTTATAGTAACTTTAAGTTTTTTTCAGAAGGATTGAGTGAATACTCATGCCATGGATTGCTGTTAATGCAATCCTTGTCATTAATCACTAACTTTATTCAAAGTGGATGATGCAGCACTCTAACAGAAAAGTAAATTAAAGTTGGATTCTTCTTTTTTTTTTCTTTCGATAATGGCAGAGTTTTGAGAAATGGAAAAACTAGCTAGTGACCTATTCACTGTCTTGCCCATTATCCTTTTCTCTCTTCACCCTCTTTCTCAAAAGTTAGAATGGCAAGCTAATGCAGTAGTGAAGAAGTGTTGTGTTTACCTGCTTGAGCTAATGTTGTTATTTTCCCTGTACAAAAAAGTACACCATTACGTATGTGAAGTTCCTCATACAAAAAGGCGTTTTTTCAACAGGTTACAAAGGTGTTCCCTTGTGAAGCTGGCTGCTGAAATTAATATCCTAAAAGCTGTGCAGCCTGGTTTGAAATGTCAAAAAAAAAAAAAAAATCAGCAAACTGAATCAAGGCAAATTCCAGAAAGAAAACTGTTAGTGTCCCTGAAATCTAGAAGGATCTTTATGTAAGTTACTTTTTTCTTTCCCTTGTTGAGTTTTCCCCACACCCCAAAGAGATTTGTGAGGTTTTAATTTGTTTTGAATGCCTCAAACTTTGAGCTTTTACTTCCCTTGTTATTTTTAAATGTAAAAATGATCGCTGCCAGAGCTAAAACAGTTTCTTTGAAATGTTAAATGCATGTGCTTCTGCCAAAATAGCTTCCCAGAAACACTATGAAGAAAGGAAGCAAAAGACTTTATGGGAGTGCTAAAAGGGAAGAGAGGATAGAAGAACTTTCTGAGCATCATGTAAAAAATCTGTGGCTCTAAGATGAAAACAGAATCTTTAGAAGAAATGTTTGGGCTAGAATTACCCAACTTTAGTCGGCTATTCTTGACAAGGGCTGGCAGCCTTGAACACGTTGATTCGCTGGGGCTCGCTGGGTACAACACGGCAAAGACCATTCGCGGCCTGGTGCAGTCTGGACTCTGCTGTTTGCTTTCCTGACTAAAAATTGCCTGTTGCAGCCGTATTTCTGGACTAATCCCACATATTCATTTTATTTCTTTTAAAACGCAGTGATCCATTCCTGAAGGAACTGCTGGGAAGAGAGGCAGCTATCTGTGCCTCAGAATGCAGAGCTGCTCACCGGGCAGCTGCGATACCTGAGCAGAGAGAGGTTTCTGCTTCTTCCTGTGATCGATCGGTACTTTGCTTACAGTGCTTTACAAAGCTAAATTTTATTGTCGTTATTTTTCGCTAACATTCATCCTCGCGCACACACAAATTCCCCCACTGACCCGGCGCATGCGCCGGCGGCGGGGCGGCATTGGCGAGCCCGCGCCCGCCCCTGCGGGTTACCCAGGAGGCTGCGCGGCGCAGAGGTCAAGATGGCGGCGAGGGCGTCTGGTGAGGAGGCGGGGGGCAACGGGGCCGGGGCCGGGGCCGGTCCACCTGCGGCGCTGCGCTCAACCCGCATAACGCCGGGGAGCGAGGCGGCCCGCGACGGGGACAGGGAGAACCGGGGAGCCGGTGTGCACCGTGTGCCCTTGACGGGAGTAGCGAGTGCTGCGGCACAGCCTTGGCGGGCGGGTCTCCTTGTCGTCCCTCCCGTGGTGGTGGAGGGAGCCTGGCTCCGATACCTGGATTTTCTGGGTGCTCGGGAGCATTGGAGGAGCCTTTGGGCAGCTCCGGAGGAGCCTCGGGTGTCGCTGTCCTGCGCGGGTACCGACTGCACGCATGGCTGGTGGAAGATTATTCCTTCTCAGGCCCTAAAGCACGCAGGAGTCAGTAAATAACCGAATGGGATAGTGCGCTAATGACGCACTGGTATCACACGTAGCACTGTTTTTTTGGGGTGACTTGGTAAGGCAAACGTCTTAAAAGTCACATAAGACAGCTTGCCCGGGCTGCATTGCCCATATTGTGCTGTACCCCTTATTGCGTTATTTCAATGGTATTTGTACCATCGTACTTAATTATGTTTTAATGCACCTTTTCCATCCAGAATCACATTTAATGAAAGATGAATGTGCTGTATGTGGTGTCTTTGTATTTTTATGGTTTTTTTTTTAAACTGTTTTTTGATCTTTCTGTTGGGGGGTACTTTTCAGTGTTGACTTTCTGGTTCACTTAGGCAGTTTCTTGATAAAGGAAGCTGTGGAATAGCAGTCAAGTAACTGGAGAGGAGAGCAAAAGGTTAACATATTAATATACTGACCTTGAAATCACATTAACCCACTGTTGTGGAACTTTGATAAATTATTTGAAAAGCATGACGGTTTTGCTTTCTGTAGAACGCTACCATTTTGGCTTATGTAAGAGTTATGGAGCGTAGAAGTGCTGGTGCTGTTTTGGAACAGTGGACCAATTCCTTGTTAAACTCTTAAAGCAGTCTCATATTGAAATTTCGTGAAACAGGTCGAACTGCAGTACATAATGAGAGTCCTACCTGGTCAGTGTCAGTTAAGGGATGTTGAGAAGTAAGAGAGGCCAAGTTGTATATGTTCAGATTCAAACTTGATGCAGTGTTATATTACTGCATATGAAGGAGGCCAGCGAATTTTTGTGTACTGTCATAGGGATGTGTAATGTTCATTTTTGTCTTGCTCTGCAACTGATGATGGTCACGTTCAGTCGCAGGAGGTGGTCGCCTGATAGACAGCATTCGCAAGTGGTACTATAATGCAGCTGGGTTCAACAAGCTTGGTAAGTGTTGGATTGAATTTAGCTATGGTTCATAATTGGCATATGTACATGCAGTTTAGCTAAAGTCTTTTTGATCAAAATTAGCTACTACTTTTGTGGAGGAAAAAGGTTGGCAGTAGCTTCACTCATCGTGATTTCTATCTAGTAATGAATCAGTGACTTTTCTGTTATTTCTGTGTTTGCTCATGTTTTCAGTGAATTAACTTATAACAGCTAAGGTCAAGCTGGAGCAGTTGAAAAAATTTTCACGGAGCAGTCCTGAAAGCTTGATTATTTACCTCTCCTCACCAAGTCACTTTCACCGGCCAGTATCTTCTAACTCGAAGACTGCTCTTGAAGCTGGAGAGGTTCCCACTGATAGCAGTCAGTCCGTCCACAATACTTCTGCAAAGTATCCAAAGTGCAGAAGAGGTTTTAGTTAGTTCTGCCCTTTGTGTCACCATAACTTCAGTTGGTGTCACCCTGGCCTGAACAGTGCTGGAATAGGTGTCAAAACAGTGTTTCCTTAAGTAGAGAAGATTGTCTTGATGGTATTGTCTTCACTTTGTTCAGAGTTGTTACCAAATTTGTTTCAACCATTTAGATGGCAGAACTGTTCTTGAATAAGAACCTGAATATTCAGTGCTTGTAATTTGCTGCTGACCACAATAAGTGCAAATCTTTTAAAGGAATTTAATATACCTGTCCTGGGGAAGCTAGAGAAAATAATTGCAAGACAACTGTAGAGGAATAAACTTAGACCTTTCCTCCAGAGATGAAGTGTTTAGCGCCTCTTTTTACGTCTGCCTGCTGAAATTCTTACTTCTGCTGCTTTTCTGGAAATGTGACTAAAAACTGAGAAAGACCAAATTTAATGTCGTAATTAAAGTAGCAGCAGTGCTCCCTGTGCCTTTGAAATAGGTTATAAAATTGAATTCAAGAATATATGACTAAAAAGAGATTTGTTTTATTGTGAGACCAAAACCTTTGACCACAAGTCAGTAGGTATACTCTTGTAATCTGCATCAGTCTTGGAATGCTACAGAAATAATATTTTTTTCTATTTTGCTAATACTGAACCTTTTAAACAGGGTTGGTTGAATTTCAAGAACTCTTTGTTCCACAAATGGTGTGAGAGTGTTCTTGGCTTTGAGAAGACAGGGTGCTTCTCCCTGATTTAACTTCTGATTTGCAACTCATGCACAAACATAGAGCTTCAGGTTTCCGTGGCTTAATATAATCAGTGGAGATCTGGTCATTATGGATAGGGGAGTTTAGAGCATAATTCTTCAGTACTGAAGGAGTCACATCTGTGGTTGACTAACTCTAATGGATTCAGAGCTCTTAAACCCTTTGCCTAGACAGTCATCTTAAATATAGATATAAAAATAGATGAGCATAAGTCCACCCCTCAGATCCAGAAAAGTTACTGTTCTGTATGGATATTTTCTTATTAAACACATTGAATTAAATACTTATTTTCCTTATTTCTCTTAAAGAAAAGGAGTAAAAAAACAGTAGGTAGAGTATGTGAAAGCCAGTGTTTAGAATTGCATGTTCTCTGTGAGCAATTAATGGTTCTCCTGGATTGGTTTTTCTTCGTGATTTTGCATTTGGAAGTGTTTTGCCCATGGTACTTAGAAACACTTGTGTCAATTCTAAATCTTGTTTAGGAATATTTATTCAGTGATACTTCTTGGTACAGGATTAATGCGAGATGATACACTGTATGAAGACGATGATGTAAAAGAAGCACTGAAGAGACTTCCAGAACATCTTTACAATGAACGAATATTCCGCATAAAGCGAGCATTGGACTTGAGCTTGAAACATCAGATCCTTCCGAAAGACCAGTGGGTGAAGTATGAGGAGGTGCGTGTACAGAGCGTTTTCAGGGTGGAGGTCTTAGATGGCAGTGCTGTGACTGGTCTTTGGGATTGTCATTTGCTGAAGAGACACATGCTTACATGTTCTTTATAATGAGTACATGAGTCAGTGTCTCACAGAACACCTCTGGAAAACACAGCTTTTGATGGCTGTTTAGAAATCTCTGGTTTTTGGTAGAAATTACCAAATTTTTCTCACAATGACATAAGCTCAAGCTGCAGCTCAGAATCACAGCACATTGTGTTCAGACAAAATATTTCTTCTAAGCTATTAGATAAAGAAATACTCTGTAAATAGCTTGGAAATTCTTACAAAAGGTCTCTTGCTTTTCTGATTAATATCTTAATCTTACAGAAAATCTCGAGCCAAAGGTTTTATTCATGAAGGTGCCAAGGAAGAATAAGTTAAAGGGAAATCTTGCACTAACATAAGCATCATCTTGTAATTTGAAAAGCAAACTACACTTTCTTTTCAGATCTAACTAATTTTTATTTTTAGAAGTGAATTGATTCACAGACTTTGCATTACTGTTCACCTCAGATTTCTCCAGATTACCAGGCAGTAAAGAATCTTATTGCTAAACTCTTGACTATAGGGTAGTATAAGGGTATTAATGTGTCTCTGTGTAAGCAGAGGATTTTTCTTGTGGTCTTGCTGGTATATCTGGGTAACTGCTGCGTCAGATAACCAGTTACATATTTCCTAAAGCAGCAGTTTGGTTTGTAAGTGTTAAACATGGTCAAGGTGTTCCACCAAATTCAAGTTTACAAGTTTCCACCAAATCACAAGTTTTAGAAGTTAAGCTCAAAAAAAGATTCTCCAGAGCATTATAGTTGGACTTTAAACTAATTAAAATGGATCTTGTACATTTGGGTATCTGCCAAAAGAACATTGCTTCTAAAGCTGTAGCTGGAAGCATCCCTTTGCTTGTTAATGTTGGTGAGGAATTAGGCATTAGTGGTTGCTGTAGTAGAAAACTTCTCAATGCAGACTTGGCAGATAGAAAGTTTACCTTTTCAGACTGAGTAAGGATTGATTTTTTTATTTTTTTTTCCCTTGTTAGGTTGGTGTTTAGTCAAATCTGAGGAGGAATGAGAGACAAGTAGTCTGTAGGAATGACTTGAGAGGTTTCTGGACCTCACTATAAATTTAAATATATTCTGTTCTTTTTTAGGATAACCATTATCTTGAACCATACCTAAAAGAAGTAATCCGTGAGAGACGTGAAAGGGAAGCATGGAATAAGAAGTAACTATTGAACTACTTCATGAAAATATCCACGTATTTCTGATATTTTTAAACATTTAGTTATAAAAGTCCACAGAGAGGCAATTGTGTGGCTGAAGAATACTATTTCAGCTTGTTCATTGAGTCTGTTCATCCAACCAAAATAAACATGTCGAAGTAAAAAATCTTGGATGAGTTCTTTTTGAATGTTAACAAGCTAATGTTCAGATCTTTCCTATGAACATATACATTACATATTAGTTTAGTGGTATGCAGTCTTCAGTCCAGCTTTTTGATTCTTACTCTTTTCATAGTACAGCTGTTTTCTGCAGTTGTAGGATTAGGTAAGAAACATTGAAGGCTGTTGGTGCTAGTTGCTTTGTTAAATTAAAAAGGAGTTTGTATTTCATTTGTCACTTCTCTCTGTAGATAACAATACTGGACCAGTGTTTGATGTTACAATGGTACTGTAAGACAGCAGAGTGTAATATCTGTGCATCTGAGCACTTACATATTAAAAAAAATGGAAAATATAGATGATTCCTTAGTCATAAAATAGGAAATATTTCACTAGCTTTTTGTATCATATACATTGTTAATCCTTAAAAGACTATTTTCATATAAGCTGTAATGACTGTCTCACTTCAGCTTCTTTAGAATTTTTGTTCTTTAAAAGGGTAAAAGTGGTATTCTGATGTGCTTTCAAGAACATATTTAACTTTCAAGAACATATTTAATTTTAATGTATTTTTTTCATTACCTAAAGCATGCTGTAGTTTACAGTGTTTGGTGTCCAGAAAGTACTGGCTCTTACTGGCTGAAGACCTTTAGTCTTCCATAGTTTAATGGTAGTGTTAATTTGAGACAGATATTGGTATTAGATGTGCCTGTATGAAGTACACAACTTCTGTGATAGTCTCAAGGTTTTTGTCTTTTTCATTTTGTTACACGTGCTTGTCTGCCAAATGCAACGCTCCATTTACCAAAAAGCTAGAGTAGTTTAGAAAAAAAAAAAAGAGGAAAACACACCTGCAGTTTTCAATTGATATGATCAGTGAAATATGATACTGGATTAGAAGCTAGAATGGAAGCTGTCTTTTAGCTTTGCTCATTACCCTGTTATTAACCTTTGTCTGCTTGCTAAAGTCCCTTACATCTCCTACAGTAAAATCTAGTGATTGAATCATATATAATTTGATGTATTTTTGAGAACTTTCTGTTCTTCTCCCAGGAGACAAATAGGACGTGAAGTTTCACTTCTCTTTATGGAATTATTAGAATCTACTTTTCTAATGGAATTAGAACTATTTCATTATCTGTTAGAATAATATTAGAAGTCTAAAGAGCTACTTCCGTTAGATAATTGAAAGGCATAGCTGGTCAAATTTCTACAAAAGTTAGAATTTTGTGGAAAGACAGTCACTGCTTATTTGACTGTAAGTTTGGATTGAGGAAAAAATCTCTCAAAAATTACTTGGTTTAGAGAAAAGGACTTTGTTGGCATCAAGCACTTAAAAATAGGCTTTGAGTGAAGTGCAAAGCAACCATGCTCCAATTGGCCTAAAGCATCCGAAATCACTGATGCCCTTACACTCAAATGTAACATCTTAAGAGCCAGAGATGAGTAGTAGAAGTTAATAAAAGAATCTTTCTACATTTTTATGGCAGCTCAAGGGGAGGAGGGAAAATGAAGCCAGGTTAAGAGGTTGCCTGTTCACTGAGGCTGTTTAGCAGCTTTCATTTAGATATGTTTCCAGATGCTTCTGACTTGGAGTGATAACTTTTAACTTTAAATTTCTATAATGTGCAGAAATCTCCTGTTGAAGTATTTTGAAAAATTTCACTGAATACTATTGTATTTTAGAAGGGTGTTTGAAGGAAATATTATTTGTCTTTTTTTTTTTTAGCAGAGATGGAGGTATATTCTTTGAAACGTTTAGGATTATCTAAAAATGGTGAGGAAGGAAGTGGGTGCAAGTGTGATATTTGTTGCCTGGGAACCAGGAGCTGTAGCAGTTTTGTGTTAGAGACTGTAAACTCTTTTCTAAAATATGTGATGTGAGATTTGTATGCTTGTACTGCTGGCTAATGCATGAATAACTTGGAAGACATTTCATATTTCACCCTCTGGTGTTCCCCTTGGCGTACACTGAGCAAACAAGCATTAATCTGTAGCTAGAAGAAACTGGAGTTTTCTTGTATGTAAGATCTGAATCCTACTGGTGACAAGGGTCAGCATGATTCCCATCTTTGAATACTTGCATTTATCGTTAAAAATATCTGGGATGGGAAGGAATGGACTTGTAAAAATGGGTTTTCAGCTCTGCCATTAATTGTAATGATTCCTTCCCACCTGTACAGCTCTCTGTGGGATCCTGCCATATTCCTTGTGCAGGCTATGTGCTCCTCAGTCAATGACCACAGACTGTGCAGCCATTAGCTCACTATCTGCAAAGTTGCCTCATTTTAAGGAAAAGCTTGATAACAGTAAAGGGGGTCAAATTGCCAGAGGTGTAAAAAGAAAAGTCTGATGCGGAAGGAAAGACCATTCTTTGGTTTGGAGAACTGGATTTTCTTTCTGCTGCTGTCACCAGGTTCTTCTATAACACTGAGAAAGTCACTTGGCTCACAGAAGCCCACTAAGAATTTTGCTAAATGCTTAATATGTGGGTGCTTGGGGCTACGTCTGCAGAAGTGCAGAGTAATCACATCTATATCTAGGTTCAGTAGATCTGTTCTGAAAATATTAGGTGAAAGTGTTGATATTCGGCCATACACTCAGTGGTGGTACAAGGAGCAAATTTCACAGGGATTCTCACAATCCTTATTCCTCTGATGGTAAGTGCAGAAATACTTACAAAGAAGCTGATACATTTGTGACCTCTGTACCAAGTGCTTTCGGGAAGCAAAGTTGAGCTGTGCACTGAAGAGGATTGAAAAGAATTCCTGAATGAGAGGAGTGCCTACTGAGAAAAATGCGAGCCTGCAACTTAAGGTCATATCATAATGCACAAGGCAATAGTGAATCTTGCAGTTCCTAATTTCCTGATTTTGAAACCTTCATCTTGGTTAATGTAGTTTTTTTTATATGAATTTTACAGAGATTCCATAAATTACTGAGATCTTTTCGTAGTTTGAGTTCACTACATCGAAATTATGTGTGTAAGAGTCTGAGCTGACACTGCTAATCCTGCAGTTTGATGACAGTTTTATCTTGAATTATTTTTCATCACTTTTAAGCAAACCTGTGCTTCACTTGGAAGTTTTTTTTATTAAATACATAGTGAAATATAAAAATACATTTTGATTGCTAAAGATCATGTTTGTTATGTCAGACTGATTTCTTTAAATTTTGAATCGGTCAACCCAGAAACAATGGATTTTTTTCAGCACTGTAACAAGAAACATATGCTTGTTTTACATCCAACTTCCATCTGAAGGAGAGCTACAGCACATATAAATCTCATAAGAATTTTGATGAAACATCATGCTTGTCATTATAATGGAACTGTTTTAGCATTAATATGGTAAACACATTCCGACTTGAAGCATTTTCTCTCTAGATAGCAAAGGTCAAGATGATCTTCAGGGTTTCCCTACAGTGCTGCTGTGCCTTTGCAGTCAGTTTCCACAGACTAAAACTGTGGCCGGGGTAAGGGCTGACCCTGTGGAGCAGAACAGGCAGAGGCAACCTGAGCCACTGCTGCTCCAGCGTGAGACCAGGGTGACTTCTTCACTTCTCAAAGCATCATTTAGCTGGTCTAGGGCCCAAAGGGCTAACATCTTGAAAAATCTGTAGGCAACCAACTCCATTGTAAAAAATCTATGTTAGCATGTAAGTACCCTTGAACTGGGCCTGATCCCAAAACTCTCTTTCCTCAAACTCTCCTGCAGGCCATGCAGAGCTGTAAGCTTCCTTCAGTGTCAGGTAGTTCCTGGCTCACCCAGAATCTCAGTGCTGGTGGTGCTGGGACTAGATGACGCGGTGGTCTGATGCCCCAGAATGCCAGAAAGCATCTGCACCTCTGCCTTCCTGGCAAGGTGAGTGTTCTCATGGTGCGTCTGGAGAAGGAGCCCTCAGTGCCTTCTGCTCACTGGTGATTTAAAGCTATATTATGCTGGCAGCCTGTGGGCTCAGTTCCTTTTTCTTCACAAAAGGTATGGATTCACAGTCCCCTTCTCTGAAAATGCTTTAGATCTCTGACATATATTTTCTGGAGTGCAAGTGGGGCTATTTAGTCCCTTTGGCCAGCTGTTCTGCATGAAAGGTCTAATGAACTGTACCAGGAGACACTATTGGTTGGTTGGCTATGGCTGCTTTCTGGGCTCATTTACCAGCTGCTTCAAAATAAGGGCAATGCCTGACTCCACCTGCCTAGAGGCATTTGCCTGCTTGGGCAATTACTGCCCATGAGCTTCTGCCCTGCTCTCTCCTGTAGTATCTGAAGCCTGGCACCCAGATCAAGGAGATATGCCAAGGGCTTGAGTGAGGAATGCAGAGTGGGTGAGGGGTTGAGACAGACCCAGGATTAGGAAACCAGGTGCAGGGATCTGAAAGAAGTATAAGGAAAATAAGTAGACCTCAATCCCCTTTGCCTGCTTTGAGGGTGCATGGTGAGGATGAGATGAAGTTGATGCGTTTATGCACAAACACAGTTGAATGCATTTTGGGAAATGGAATCACTGAGTATGATACTGAGGAGTGAGGTATGTGGTGGTTTGGCAAAGGCCAGGGTGATTGCAGGCCACTGCAGAGGGAGACACCTATGTATCCTAACTTTGCCAAGTTCATGGCACTCATTGAGGCTTAAGTTTTCGCTAAAAAATAAGGATCATCCATTGAACCTTAACATGAGTGGAACCCAAGCTGTTCTTGTCCTACCTCCATGATGTCTGGACATGGCCTAAGTGCCCATCTCCTGTGGCCCAACCTCATCTGTTTCCTTTTGTGAAAACTAGAGCAGCTTCAAGAATAAGCCCCAACAGCTGTAGGGTAGGTCTGAGTTTTGGATGCTTGCATCTCTGCAGCAAAAAATGAGCACTGGATCTTTCCCTTCCAAACCCTAAGCAAGTGGTGGAATTGCTGTTGCTTTTTTTTATGAGAGCTTGCTGCTTTGGTTCCTGTGCTGGGAAAGGATCTGGACTTTGAAACCCGATCAGAAAGAGGTACCTCAGCACAGCTGGGCTTGTGCTCTCCTCAGCCATTCCTAAAGCGGTTCCCCACTGGCCTGCACAGATCTGGTTCTTTGTGTCTAAATCTTCTGGATTGCATGGGGAGGCTGGATAGCGAGACATGGAGTTAAGCACTGCTGCACTTAGTATTACAACACCTAAGCCCTTTTATGAAGCCTCATACTCCCACTGCGGCCAAGCAGATTGAAGTGATTGTTTATAGGCAGCAAAGTTCAGAGTCCAAAGCTCAGATCTCTTCAAGGCACTTCAGAGGGTTTTCTGTCTGCAAGTTGTGTTCCCCAGTGGAGTATTAGTTTAAAAAGATTCTGTTATGAAATAGTCATAAAAGCAGCTTGATATG